TCCACCCCACCCCCTGCCTCTGCTCCTTCCCCCACCCCCGCTTCTTCCGCCATGAGATAAACCTTCAAATGCTCTATTGACAAGCTGATTTTGTAAACCGCCACCTCCACGGCTTTTCTTTGAAGCCATATTCCCAGATCCATTGGCAGGATTAGCAGGTCGTTTTGTTCTGCACCAATACATTTAAACAAAATAAAACTGGATCTTTTCAAGTAAGCAAAATTTCATTAGCATAAAAATCTTGTTTACACATGCTTATCAGATAGGAGCAAGAAAATTTATATTACCCTGTGGCAGGTGTGTTAGAGGGCACAGCAGGTTTTGTCGCTTCTTTCCAAGATAGGTTGATACTCTTGTCTCCAATAAATGAAGGTGTTTTTGAATGCAGAGTCTACATTTGTTAAGAATCATTTAAAGATTAGTTAAAGCTCATGAATTAATTATCGTGCGTTCATAATTCTCAAACAGTTTGGTTCACCTTTGTCATTGCCAATATGTTATTGCAGGTTCGCAACCCAGTTGTAGTATTCTGCTTTTCAGTTTTCTGCACGTCAGAAAAATATTGTTTTTAAGATCAGAAAAGGTCCACAAGATAATGTGAAATCTCCATAGAATCAACTCACAATGCTGTCCTTCGCTTCGTCAGATTTTGCAGCTGCCATAGCTTTGTTCTTTTCAGCCATTCCCTGGGTTAATTTCTTCATAGTGGCCCTAGTTAACTCCTCAACATAACTCAACCTGTGGCAATCAATCAAAACACTTTCAGTTATAAAGGTGCAGCAACTTGATAATCCTCCATGTAAGATATCAGTAACTTGCATAGCCCCCAAACTTTCAACCACGGGATTCTCCTCAATTGAGGGCCACTACCCTCATCATAAATAATGATAAAAGACTAAAACTTGCTATTGTGTGGATAGGCTGGGCCTTTTCACCACCAGGGGAAAAAAGCCATAATTCACCACCACCTGAGCTAGGGCCCAATTATATTGGATGCGAAATGACAAAGAAATCATATAAACTATAATAATAAGCAATAAAAGATAGATGGAGAAGAAAAAAAACCACCTCTCAGTAAATTCCTTATACTGCTCTGAAAAGTCCTCCCCAAGCCTATCAGATGGTTGTCCAGTCACTATCTTGTAACCGCATAGACTGTTAGTAGCATTTGGAACCTATTTCATAAAGCAGTCAAGTAAGCACTACACAATGTTGATTCACAGTAGTATTAACAAGAGGTTGATTAGAAGCCAAACAAACCTTGTGAGAAAGATGGTGAAATGTGTACAACAAGCATTCTACATAAGTGAAGTTAAACTCCTCTCCAGTCTTTCTCCGAGGCATGTTTTTCTGTAAAAACAAAAAGGAATAGATGATAATTATTTTGCGACAAGACAATATACAAAAAATGACTCAGAAAATGGTATTGTTATCCAGCCCTGGAACCAATTAAACAATTATATTGATACTGCTATCCAAAGAGTGAAGGCAAACATATCAATCCTAATCAGTGTTTTTAGAGGCCCAATTGAGGCACACCTGATAGCAAGGCAGCAGAGAACCACCTTGAGGTGCCCTCTGCTAATAATTGGATATCATTCTGAGATTGTTTATTATGGTTGAACTATAACTAATACAAGAATACCTGTTTTAAA